CTCAATTCTAGCTCCCCATGTTATAATGGATCCCTAATGGCTGAGGCACTCAGTGGATGCTGACATTACAATAGATGCAGGTGTTTGATGTTCTTAAGAATTACAAGCCATGAAAGTCTGTGAATGTCTAAACCACTGTTTAGACATAAACAGGGGTTGGGAATAAACTGGTAACTGGTGAAAGTCTCCCCAATTTGCAGAAAGAAGTTTCCCGTTATCTATCTCAATCAGAAACCTGTTAAGATAGATAGAACCTCAATCAGAAACCTGTTGGATATTTTTATCCAATTACTGTTGCTAAACTATCTTTAAATAATGGTTTCAACCATATAAACAAAATAGTGTACTATACAAACAAAATCTATGTAAAGCAGAGAACCACTTCCAAAATTACAAAAAACCAAGGAATTCATAATCATAAGATAACGTAAGTATTATTAAGTACTGTTTAATAGCTAGTAGGTACAAGTAAGCATAACTTCTATATTCCTTATTACAGATTATTCTAAACTGATAACATCAGCCTACATCAAAGAAAATTGTTCCATAAAGTTTAAAATCAGATATCTTTTGAAGTCATATTTATAGTCATGGCCACTATCTGCTGTCACACAAAGAATATTGAAAAAAGAAGATTTTAATATATTATGGTTAATTTATCATTTAAGTGTCATGTGTAAAACAGAATTGAAATACCTAAAAAAATTCTTCTCTGAAAGGAACTTTGATTTTAACTATTTGTGATTTTGATGATTAAAGGTTCTTGGTTGAAATGCAGGAATATCATTTGAAATATATTAGTACTATCAGTTCTTTATCAAGGTTTTTTAAAAAAACTATTCTATAACAAAATACACATGGACTCACTTCTACTACAGGGGCTACTTCTTCTCATCTGCTCTGGTATATCCCCATTTACCCCTTTCCTACTATCCACTGAGAAATTGTCCCCCAAAATTAGGAATTTCCAGGGATTGTTGCTCAGAAATATGGGACTATCAAGATAGGAAACTGAATTATTATTGTTCATTACATAATACTTTCTTCAGATGCAGAAAGAACATTATTTCTAATGATGGGGCAACATCATGGATTACAGGCATTATTTAAATTAGTGCTATGTATATTATTTATAGTGCAATCTGTTACAATCTTGTAGGCAAAATGAGCCCCACTGTATCCAAAGTAGCTTCTGAATAGGATTAGAGTGCTACAGTTATAAATTTATCTTTTATAACAGGGGTCCCCAACCGCCGGTCCGCGGACCGATACCGGTCCGCGGAACAAGTCTTACCGGGCCGCTGGTTGCTGGGCGCCGCCATCTTTTTTTGATAAAAAAGTGCTTCCGGTGAGCTTTTCCGGGTAGAAAGCCATTTCTACCCGAAAAAGCTCACCGGAAGCGCTGGCGCCGCCATCTTTTTCGTCAAAATAAGATGGCGGCGCCCAGTTGATGCCGGTACCGGGCCGCGGCGCCCAGCTGATGCCGGTACCAGGCCGCGGCGTAAAAAAGGTTGGGGATCACTGTTTTATAACACTCTTTTGGACTTTTCAGTTTTGATTTGGTTTCTTAAATATATTTCATCCTTTATTAATATAGCAAATGCAAACTTTCAAAAACAAGAATAAAATGATAACTTGAAAGTATTTTTTTCTATCCTGAAATATTATTCCATGAAAGCTTTAATTATTGTTTTAATGAAAGCCTACCCATATTTATTCAATGGTAAATCCCACTGGAATTAAATTAAACTTTTTCCCAGTGTATAGTATAGGATTGCATCCTAAGCTCCTTTATAATGGTTGTGCACAACTTTGAAGACTTAAAGTTGGTTTTCTTAGACAGTCCAATAAATCAGTTTTTAATTCCAAGTTGCTCCTGTCAAATTTGTACGCATCCTGAAAATACTTATGGATATTGGTTTTCAGTATCATTTAATCCTACAATATCTTCCCTTCTTAATAAATAGGAAAAGGGATTTAACACGCTAAAGATTATTCAAAAAAAAAATCCTAACTTCTCACTGATACTATTGGATACTGTTCATATCTTTTTTCTTGTACCAGCAAAATAAAGTTTTGTCACTCTAATGTATAGAAAATTTGTTTCAGTAGCCCTTAAGTACACAGTTGAAGTTCTCTCAGAAACATCCAAGAAGCTGGAGGATTCAAGTTCTATAGGCCAGGGGTCTCCAACATTTGCAACTTTAAGACTTATGGAGTTCAACTCTCAGAATTCCTCAGCCACTTGCTGACCATTTATTCAATGACTATACAATGGTGCTGAATAAAAAAACTTACAACCAGCATACCTAATATACTTTCCTCACAAAATTCTTCCCCACAACAACCCTGTCAGATGAATTGGGCTGAAAGAGAATGACTGGCCCAAAAGTACAGTTAGCTTTCAAGCAGGACTAGAACTCACATTCTCCTGATTTTTAGACTTGTGCTTTAACCACTAGACCAAACTTGACACAGTATCTCACAGTGATCACCATCATATTCCCACAGTGTGACCTTCAAGCCAGCTTCTAACAAGCAAAGTCAATAGGAAAGCCAGCAGGAAGTCACAAGTTGCAGTCATGCGACATTGTACCCATTGTACCCATTGTACCCATTGTACCCACTTCTAATTCTCCATTTTTCTAAATATGACCTCTCTTTAGCTGCTATGGTCTTCACTTGTTGACCATTTATTCAATGATGATACAATGGTGCTGAATAAAACATCTATGTTGCAGTGATAAAGAACCAACTCAGAATGCACCTGCAGTGACAAAGGTAAACATGATAAAGAGGTTTAAAAAAGGAATGCAAAACTCACTTAACAAATGCAGCCAGAACTGACTGACGTTGTAAGTCAGGCAGTCACATGATTATTTATTTTTATTTTCAACTATGTCACTTAAGGATGGAGTTGCTGGTCCTAAATACTATCTGTGAAGACTACCTGTACTTCAAGCAAGCATACTTCATTTATTCACAAGAAAATGACATCCACCATTCTTTAGTCCTTAGTCCTTAGAACAGGCAATTTGCTTTTGATGCATGACATCACATATTCTTATAAATAATGCAATATTGGAATTATTATAGGTATCCCTTAAAAAGTAGAACACAACATTGGATTTTAATGACCTTTCAAGCAAACTACTTACTTCAATTAGTATGATTTTAAATTTCTTAATTAATGTAATGCCCGCTATCTTAATATAAATGCAAAGCATTGCACATTGAGAAAAGAAGATCCCAACTTCCCATATATGAGGTTTTAAGTTCTAGGCTTCTAATTCTCCATTTTTCTAAATATGACCTCTCTTTAGCTGCTATGGTCTTCACTTGTTGACCATTTATTCAATGACGATACAATGGTGCTGAATAAAACATCTATGTTGCAGTGATAAAGAACCAACTCAGAATGCACCTGCAGTGACAAAGGTAAACATGATAAAGAGGTTTAAAAAAGGAATGCAAAACTCAATTGCAAAAATGCTCTTCTGCAAATATTGTTATATTTGCATACTACGTACTACGTTCAATTTTGGTCATAACATCACAAATAGGGTATAGCAAAAGACAGAGAAAGAACAATGAAAATGATAAAAGAGAAATAGTACTTTGTATGAAAGAATAATATGTGTAGCTTTTTGTGTGTTATGTTTTATATGTAAACAGAAATAGAAAAAGATAATAGAAATTTAGAAAAGTATGCATAATAACAGCATATAAAACATTTATTGGAAATTTTTCTTTCTTCTTAAAATACTAAACCACAGGTGTGATACAGGGGGACAAAAAGAAGCCCAAATTCATAAATATAAGAAGACACTCAAGTCTCCTGGTTTTATTTAAACGATTCTCACTTTAAGATCAATTTTAAAATAAATGATGGCAGCCAAATTTGCTACCATTTTGAGTACTGTGATTAGAAACTACCTCAAAAGAAGTTAACCCTTCTTTTGAAGTAACTTCTAATCACAGTACTCATGGTAGAAAATGGAAATGAAAAATGAAACGTTTCTTCTGTTAAAAGTTCTGCATACATATTTCTGCATACAGCATGTAAGCAATTCTCCGAAAGACATTACAAAAGAATATAGTAATGCCCACCAACTCCAACAGCTTTAAAATTCATAGAAAATAAAGCTAATGACAGCTATTAGACTAGGTGATTCTACATGAGTGTCAAGATAGACAGATCTTCTAAAACATTAACAAAGCCAGTAGGAAGGCTTCTGGTTTTTTCATCTGATTTGACATGGACAGTTATGGAAGGAAATTTGGATCAGACTCCAATTCCAGAGAACTCTGCTTTAGAGGTGAAATCATTTTAAAATTATTCAAAAAAAGTATGAGACATATTTTTGATGTATGCATGACTTTTTTCAAGGTACAGTATATGTCTAAAGAAGGATACCATGGTTTGATAAATCATCTGAATCAAATAATTAAAGCAAGACATCCTTTAATGCACCTTTTAAACTAACAATATATCCTTTCTCAGGCTTAGAAAGTTTTTTATGCTTTAATGAACAGGAGAGAGGAGCTGTTCTCATATGAAGTCCAAAACACTCCTGAATCTTTATCGAAGGGTGACAGACCTACTCTTCTCACATTCTAACGGATGGAAGATATAACCTGCAATACATCAGGCATAATATTGCACTGGACTGTCTTGCATCTGGCATTAGAATAAAACTAATATATAATATTGTGCATTATTAAAATCTGAAAGAAATTGACAAGACTAGGGGGTAGAAACGATCTTGAAAAAAAAATTATATTTCTATTACCTTACTAGAAAATAATATACCAGAGCCAATTTGGAACAGAAATACTGGTGTCTATCAAACAGGAATGACAGAAACTCAAGAGCAACAAAAAAGTGCAAAATTTAATTTGATCAACAAAGCATGGGTTAATAAAGCTGTTGGAGGATGGGGGCCCAGTTCTTCCAGGAAATACTAGCTACCACAAAATAAGAAAATAATTATAGTTACCTGAACAGCAAGACAGGCAGCATTATCAGAAAGCAAAATCTGTTCCTCTATAAAATAAAATGCAGTATAATTATTTAAAATAATGGTTCTTTCCTCTACTGATAATTGCACAACATTATGAGTGCAAAAATAAATGGTATACAAACACAGAGAGACAAACTATTTTAGCACAAATCACATGCCCCATTACATTAATGCCACTTTACAAAACCTGAGGCCAGAAGTCCCATAAACATTTCTCCTGATATGTCCTATAATTTGTCCTATTGCCCCAACAGTTAAAGAATCCCTAACAAAAGATATATCCTAAGGTTTTTGTTTTTTTTTTGTTTTATTATAGGCAAAAAAAAAAAAAAAATCACTCATTTCCTAATAGAAATAAAATCCACAACTTCATAATTCTTCTTGCTAAAAAGTAAAAGCATTCATAAACCTATAAAAAAAAAACCAGCTTGCAGTTAATATTGCAGACTGTGTCTAGGTCTGTCACACAAAAGAAAGATGACAAGTACACAGCAATAAAAATTCCATGCTTAGAAGACTAGGGCTGCTACCTATTAGTCTTCATTACTTTGCAGTCTTCTGACAACTGTAGCAGGCTGCTGAGCCCCAAATGGGGGCCATAATGTGATCTGATGATATATGAAGAGCTGCTAAAGGGAGCCTGAACCATCCTAGCCTATACATTTTAACAGTTCCTTTTTATCGAGAGCCCACTTTACCACAAGACTTCAAAAATCTGCTGCCTCAGCTATTGGTGCAGTAAATCTGCCAACTGGGCCTGCAAACCACATCATTTTACACTGCCTACAGCAGCCAATATAATGAGTCAATAATAAACCAAGGACCTTACAGGCCATGAATAGCGGGTTTATATTGGCAAATACAAGTTTAGCACAATCCTCTGACCAGATAAGCATAGTAAAGGATTCCCTTTTCAACAAGGCCTCTCCTGCCTTTCAACCCCATAAGGGGTCACTTAATTATAAGGATGCATATTTAATGAAGAAAATTTAGCTAATTGAGGAAAATAAAATACACACCTTTCAAAGGCTGATAGAGCACAGCATTCTGAGGCCAAGGTTCAGCAGCTATAGGAAGGGTGAAAAAAAACACAATTTATAAGGTAAGCATTTGTTACTGCTTTTACACCAGATTTTCGCTCAATTTAGATTGATGAGGCAGTTTCCTCTACTTCATAGCTTTACCCTAATTTATTAGTTTTTAAAGAAAGACCAAAACAGAAAGTAACATGTAAGGTTAGAAAAAGAAGAAAAAACAAAAAGTACGGGGGGGGGGGGGGATGAAAAAAATAATAAAAACGATTTGATTTTTCTCTTACAATTATAAACATAAATTTAAATTGACCTCTTACTCCAGGGGTGTCAAACTGGATTTCTTTGCGGGATAGATCAGCATTGTGCTTCTCCCCCACAGGCTGGCTACCAGAGGCACTGTGGGCCGGTCCTTTGCTATTTCCAGGCCAGCCCTGTGGGCCAGATTTAAGCACCCCGTGGGCAGATTCGGCCCCTGGGCTTTGAGTTTGACATCTCTATTACTCTGTTGCAACATAATTTGCATTTTTCTACGATCTATTATTTTCTAATCATCAAACTGATATATTACAATTTAATTTCTTTCAAAAGTCAAAAAAGGGTTTCCAGTTGGTATTAATATTAACCAGTGTGTTTTCTCTAATTAAAGCTGTTAATTTTGCTATCTCAACAATATCAATTCTTCCAAATTTTTCCATCATTGTACATATAAAAGCCTCACTGCTGTTACCATAAATAAAAACAAAGTTCTATGAGTTTTTTCCAACTTTTTGTCAATCAGTTCCAAAAGAAAAAACTTGGCTTCATTTGCATACTAATCTTTAAAATCCTCTGAATTAATGCATGCATTTGAACCTTTTTTTAAAGTTTTTATATGTCCACTAAGCATGATAAAAAAAGTCCCCTCTTGTTCATATTTCCAGTAAAAATTTGAAGCATGTTTACATTTAAACATTTTTTTCCAATGACAAATACCAACAAAACTTAAAGTTGATATCAATGAATGATTCCCTTCCCAAAGTACAGAACAGCATCAGAAAAGAGACTTTGCTCAGGAAACTACTACAAAGGGAAGGGTTAAATTCTCTCTTCAAATGGCTGCAATGCTTATAATTATTACAGGCACATGCAATTTCTTTTTGCAAAAAACAGCAGCTTAAATGCTGCCCTAAGTTTAAATCTGAATTGGTAAATAAAGATGTTATGATGTTTTTTAGGATAGGATGGACTGAACTATACAAATAACTGGAGGAGAAAAGCTTCAAAGATAAGGTGCTGCCAAAGAAAATGAAGGTATGAGACAATAGATGCAATCTTTACGCTAACCAAGAGATTTGAATCAAAAACCTGCAGAGCTCTAGAATGAGCATAAAGATACAAGCAAGTTAAATCAAGTGTAATAAAGCACAAATATTTAGAAGAAACACTTTTTAAATTAACAAGCAGAAAAAGAGGCTAGTCAAACAATGGAAAAAGAAGAAAAAGAGAGGCTGCTAAGTAGAGGCAAGAATGTTAGAAACTGCAAGAATAAATAATATATATATCAGTTTTTAGATTGCATAATCTTTCCCACGTCCAACCTAGTGCCTTCAATGTACAATTCACACTATTATAACTAAGAATGATGGAGTTGTAATTGAATACATATGGAGAGTCAATGAGACAAGCACTGGCACAGCTAAGCTTATTTTAAAAAAATAAACCAAGCTACTACATGTTTCAGTAAATAAAAAATATAATGTGTATATTAATGTGAATATCATTTTGAAAGAATGACTCAAAAATAAGCAAGGAAAAACTGTGAAAGAATAACATTCAAATTTTTATACCTATGCTAAGGGTAACAAATTCCCCACAAATGTTAAAGCAACAGTATCTTTTTTCAAAAAGGGATATTTTTCTTTGCCAAAAAAAACCCAAAACCCACTAAGGAGATAGATGGAAAGAAAAACCCAATATAGCAATTGAGAGCCAGTCAACAAGCCTGCTTGTTAAAAAAAAATCCCAGAAACTGCCATATATCTTAGCTGCCATACTCCTGCTCTAAATTTTCCCTAACATTTTACCACAATAAAGCTTTTTTACGTTGCACACTTGTGACATCTGTAAAGTGTAATTCGCTTCTTTGTGGAATAGTCTATAGCAGGGGTGTCCAACCTTGGCAACTTTAAGACTTGTGGACTTCAACTCCCAGAATTCCTCAGCCAGCAAAGCTGGCTGAGGAATTCTAGGATTTGAAGTCCACAAGTCTTAAAGTTGCCAAGGTTGGGCACCCCTGGTCTATAGTGTGTGAAAGAAAAAGGGGAATGGAAAAGTAATACTTTAAGATTATCTAAAGAATCGTGGAGGTAAAAGGAAAGTTTTTGTAGGATCCATTCTGCAATTTATACAGACAAGGAGAAATTCAGCAACCTAGGATGCTTATGTAAGCAAACAGGTACCAAAGGTTTTGTTTATTTATATTCCACTACAAAAGAAAGCTATTGGGGTTATACGGTCTATAACCAAAAGTTGCTGGAAAGGGAGAATGGTGAAGATACTTTTGATGAAAAAAACGGAGTCCTCCTTATAAACCATTGCAAACAACTTTGTTTTTACTATCTATCGGCCTTCTTATGCTGTGCCTTTCCAAACTTGCAGAATTTTGACAGTTCCCATCATCTCCAGTAATCCCATCCCAAACATCTGGACAATATCAAGAGAGAATGTTGCTATCTGAAAATTTAAAGAGGAAACGTGGGGAACAAGATTTTCCTGATGAGAATGTGTCTATTTTATTATTCAAAGTATGAATATACAGGGTATCAGTAGTACTGACATGCCAATGCTACCAGGCATAGCGTTCTTGCAGTTTGGCATGACAATGTTAATTGACTTGCCCACAGAAAGAATCTGTGCCTAAAGATAAATCAAAATACCATTCAGCTTACACTAGTTACAGACAGGAGAGATATAAAATTATTGTAATTGATAAAATGTAAATGATTTGCTAAACCTATTTACCACAGCTGGTGCTTTTTGCAACAATTCCATCAGTAAAAATTAAGAATGCTGTTTCTCTGCATGACCTTGGAACCACAGTAACAAAAATGCTTGACAGCTTTGTAATTGTATGCCACTTTTCCAGTGAACTAAAATTATGTTTGCACAGGAGCTAGATGGGGCTGTAAGATATGTAAATGATACGTTGTTGTTCTGTCATTTCCAATTCTTTGTGACCTATTCAGTGTCACGTCATTTGGATGCCAGGCATCAGGATCAGGATATCACCGGAGCCCAGTTGGAATTTTCCATCTTGTGTTGATTATGTTTACTTTTTAAAATGTTTTTATTTGGCAACTTCTATTGCTATTTCTACTTTTATATGTTTATGTTTTTATGCTTTTTCATTGATTGGTGTTATTTAATTAAGATGGACAGTCATATAAATGTGTGTAGTACATGCCTGTTAATGTTTTGAGTTTTCATAAGCTCAAACTTGGATCATCAGTGATAGCACCTAACCATCTGTCTGTTTGTTGATTGCCTTTGATCCTTTCAAACATCACAGTCCTCTCCAGTGACTCTTGCCTTTGAATTGTGTGTCCAAAATATTTAAGCTTCAGCTTTGTTATTAGTGTTTCTTGTGAACAGACTATATTTACTTTACACAGTACTGAATTATTTTTCTTGCAATTCAAGAATCTTCTTCAGGACCACAATTAAATTCTACTGGGCCCGCTTTCATTAATAAGTGGAAAACCACAGCCTTCAAAATATGTACTTCTATTGCATGTGTGATCTCCGCATTAACGTTTTGTCTAGAAAGTCTAAAGTACACAGAGAAGCTAACTACTGTATATCCAAGTGTCATAATGGAATACTTTTTTCATTACAACATTAATAATTAAACTGTTCAAACAGTGTGGACAAGAGTCCCCAACCTTCAGAACTGAGCCACTGCACAGCTGGAGATGAGAAGCGGGTGAGCAAGTGAAATCTAAACCATCTCCCTTATCTGTGGAAAAACTGTCTTCCACAAAACTGGTCCCTGGTGCCAAAAAAGTTGGGAACCGCTGACAGACCTTTCCATTGAATGATATACAAGGTGATCAATAAAAAAATACAAAAGAAGAATCAAAGCAAGGCAAGTATGACATGTTGGGAAAGATTGGTTACAGACAATACAGCACTAAATGGGCAATAATCTGAGGCAATATAATACAGTTGCCTATGTTCCTATGATAAAAGTTATGATTTTAGAATACTCTTATGAACAGTTTTGGATGTCTGAAAATGAAGATTCAGCTAGATAAATATCAATGAACTGCATTAATTTTTGAAAGAAATACTACTTTGTTGTTCCTACTGAGTTTTGGGAACGCTGTTGCTATAAATGTAAACAAGTCATATACATATAAAATTCACCAGCATAGAAAAAGAATTATTCGTATATTTCTGAACTAAACCGTAACTTCAAATCAGTAAAACCAAAAGAATGAGGGAACTACGAAGGATCAGGTTTCTCAACAAGAGAGCAGAAAAATAAACACATGTTTAATGTACAGCATGTCTCTTGCCTTGAGAACAATAGGTGAAGGCATAATTTGTAGAATAATAGGCACTAATATTACACGCTCCTTTAGCTCTGTCATGTTTCCAATCCATCAAGTTGATTAATGTTTAAGTCTCCTTCAAGTCAACCTTGATTCCTAGTGACTTCATGGACACATCCAAATAGTTCTTACATTCTCCAATAATGTTTTTGTTGACTTTCCAGATTAGTATGTAGTATATAGCCATGGAATTTTCTGGCGATTTTTCCACAGGCCTTTATCAAGCCCAATTTGGCTTAGCTTCCAAGCCCAAATAAAATCACACAACAGGGTATAACTGAAAAAGGTATAATTTGTTCAATAATGAAATCAAGCCAAATTTATTATTTGGTTGCTAGATGCTTTGATCTGTAAGTGATGCTTGTCCATAATGCTTAAGCTACATTAAAAGAGGGTAGGGATAAAATCAAGCATAAGGTCCATAAACGAAATCTCGAGTTT